TAGCAAATTGTGCTTAAACTCACAAAGAATAACTTACCTTAGACCCATGAGAGTGCCCTGCTTTTATAACCAGTAGTGGCCTGATCCCTTTAGGAGCCTCACTTCAGCGGACTCAGGCTTAATGTTCATCCTGGGCTGTCGGCTAGATAGGGATAAACTTTCCTTGAGCCTTACCCTTATCCTAACTGAGGCCCTCCCTTGTCCTAGGACTCTTGTCCTTTATCCAAATATCTCGGATTCCGGTATCTCCACAGATAACCTCGACCTTGCCAAAATCATCTCGACAACATGACCAAGCCACGTGGCACCTCGGCTAACACTTCAGTGCCACCTTAGCCACGTGCTGTCATTCACAAAATACTTCCCCACGACTGCCCCCTAGGTTCTATTATCTCGGCAACCTAAGGTGATGGAACCTATATCGTCTGATCTTCCAATATATCAGCTAAACAACATGCTAGAGATACTTCTCTGACCGAGATCATTACTCATCCGCTTCATGAAACAAAGACTCAAATGTCCACTCGTCACAAACTAAGAATCAAGATGATCCTTCTCGTCCTCCTTACTAGATGTTGGTTATCTATTCTATACTAAGTTCTCACAGATGACGCCATATTATAGGTGTTGATTTTTGACCACACAACTTAACGGAAAACTCAGCTGGAGAGCATCAGCAGAATAGATTAACCCAACAACCTGTACAAGAAGATAAGAATCCAGTGGTGATTTGTCCACCCTGAGGCACTCCGACGATCAAGTCAGTAATCAATATCTCTCAAAGATAGCAAATTGTGTTTAAACTCACAAGCAAATGACTTACCTCAGACTCACAAGGGTTCCTTACTTTTATAACCAGCCGTGACCTGATCTCTTTAGAAGCCTCACTTCTATGGGCTCAGGCTTAATGCCTATCATGGATCTTCAGCTAGATAGAGATAAGCTCTCCTTGAGCCTTATCTTTATTCAGACTAAGATCTTCCCCTATTCTAGGACTCTTGCCTCTTATCTGTTTATCTCGGATTCCGGTATCTCCGCAGATAGTCTCGGCCTAGCCGATATCATTTCGGCAACATGACCAAACCACGTGGCACCTTGGTTGACATTTCGGTGTCACCTTAGCCACAAGCTACCATTCACAAAATACTTCCCCACAATATACAAGAAGAAATGAATTTAAATTTCATGTGTTGAGTAAAATTAACAAAAATTATGAGAAACAGAGATTATCAACTTCATTATCAAAATGAAACAACTATGTTCAACTAGACATTTCTACAAATATTTGGAGTATATTGGGCAGTCGAATACCAAATGGCATAATTTTATCTATTTACAGAGGTAGCCCTCAAGATAAATAATTAATACACATCATCTCCTAATGTTAATCGTGAGTACTGATTTACCGGGTCCAAGCAATTCAGTTAAAAAAGGTCTGGACTGGAGTTTGTATCCATGGGTTAGTCTTTGGTCAACAAACTGATCTAACATATGAGCCAAAAACATTAACCTGTAGGATAGAATGATTTGGTTATTTTGAATTATAAAATATTTAAATAAAATTAATATAATTAAAAATAGCGACCAGTAGTTTGGAACATGAGAATGATTTTAGAGTAGGCCTAAAACAGTCTTGTGCGAGATTACTTTTGCATTTTCTCTCTCTTACCATACTCTCACATGGCATTATCCGTTATGTTTACCCAAGTGGTATCTTGCACTTGGAGAACTTATTGACAAGTCCCATGTACCAAGTTCAAGATCCAGCTAATCCCAAAATAAAACACTTACACCAATTAGTCCAATACATTTTTAATTATTACCAAAAAAATTTTTTTTTTTTAATTTACAGACACTGTTCACATCTTACTACCGTCGGACTTCCATTTAACAGTCGCCGAAGACTCACCGGAATGTCTAGAATATTGCCGGAAAAAAAATTAAAAAACATGTTATGAAACTGTAAAATTTTATAGTTATAAAGAATGTTATAAAACTGCAAAATTTTACAGTTTTAAACCATGATTCATTCCAGCACCAAAAAAAATTTTAAAACTGCAAAATTTTACAGTTTTCACTGCCTGTAACTAAAACTCAAAACTACTTGTTCAGAATTCGAAAATTTTCTCTATTAGAACAGAAAAACAGAAGTGTATAGTAGAGAAAAAAAAAGAGATCGAAGGAGAAAGGCGGATGTAGAGAGAGGATTATACTCCGACAACTATTTTTTGTTTAGATCTAGCCAGATCTGATGTAAATCTACTTAGATCTAGCCAGATCTGATGTAGATCTACATCAGATCTAAGTAGATCCACTCATCTTCTTCGTCGAAAATATATATCTTTGCCGTCGGTAAGAGTGAAATCACGAGTTGATTTCGATGGTTGGCGGTTATCAGTGAACCCCGATCAATGGAGAAAGACATGAACACTTGCACCATCATCTATGACGAAGACGATGAGAGAAAAATGTAGAAAAAAAGAGAAAGAAGAAAATGTAAAAAGGGAGGAAAAAACCAGAGAGATGGAGGAAAAGACTTTTGGGTGTACTCAAAAAGTTATGGGATTAAATGGTGTCCACACGTTCCACATGAGACCTGTGGCTAATTTCCCCCTTGCACTTTTCTAAGCCCTTTTTAGGTGCAAGAGTGACTTCCAGCCCAGCCCAGAATACATCGGAGATGTCTTTAATCCATCTTGACATTTTGGGCCCGTATTGTGTCAGGTTTAGATCCATCCAACACCATTTAGTTAGGACTGAGCATAAAAATTAAAAAAAAAAGTAAACAGCTCCAGTCCAAACCAAATTATATCATTTGATTTTCTCAATGCATGGTTTGATTTTGATTTTTGAAAAAGGCCAACCATCTTCATGGTTTAGTTCAAGATTTTATAGTCATGAATCTAGTTGGAACCGAACCGGATCATTTAGATTATATATATAATTTGTTACTGAATGTAAATACTAAAATATTTTAGGATAAATTACACTTTCACCGCCTGAGGTTTGGATTTAATACATATCACTGCCTGACATTTGGAAAATTACATTAATCCCTGTCATTGTAATTATTTAAACACAATTAACACTGATATCAAAAAGACATTGAATTCATAAACGCTCTCTTCTCTTACTTTATTTTACTTCTTCTGTTTTTTTTTTCTTTTCTTTTCTTTTCTTTGCTTTACTTTTTTTTTTTTTTTAATGTAATTTCCTCTATTTTTCAAACAGGAGTTGTTACTTTTTATATAAATAGGAGAGTTTGTGAAATGAGACTATTAACTACAATGGTATAAATGAAATTTCCCAAACATCAAGAGGGTGATATGTATTAAACTCAACCTCAGGGGATGTCAATGTAATTTACCCAATATTTTATTAGTATCAATATATATAAATTATAACTCTTTACTTGTCAATGTAATTTACCCAATATTTTATTAGTATCAATATATATAAATTATAACTCTTTACTATTATAAGTATATTTTTGTATAATGATGAAACTAATTGTAAACAATCGTGTAAATAATTCTTTGATTGTGAATAATATTTTGTAATTATATTGTGGATAATGATAATATTTTTAAAATCCATGGTTCCAAACAAAACCAAACCGTGATTTAGTGGTTCAGTTCAGATTAGTTCCAAAGATTTTCATTGATTGATTTGGTTCCAAATTTGATAAAATCGTAAATAATGAATTGGTTTTGATTTACAACGAAACCGAATCAATCCGAACCATCTCTACTTTTTAAAAAAACCAAAAGGCCCATTTAAGATACGTTTCTTTGTGAAAAATGTCTATGTATTCAAAAAATTTATAAATTTTCTCAAAAGTAGTAGTATAGATTTAAAATTGATATGATGTGAGACACAATTAAAATGAATGACACATTCTCCATTCCGTGTAATTTGGGCATGTAGAGTTCACCATAAATCTCATCTCGATGATCTATAAACTATTTATTTTTTATACTACAACATGGGAATCATTCATGGAAAAAAAAAAAAAAAAAGGTCAACTCAACAATTATAGCCAAGTTAATTTATAGCATTTATCTATAAAAAATAAAATAAAATCAACAACATATATTTGTTGAACTATACCCAACTTCAGAAGTTTTCATTCTGAGAGTTGAATACAGAGTCTAGTTTTAAAATTAGTATGACATCAAATAATTTATTATAATTTTTATTTTTATTTTTTAAATCAGATTTCCACAACACGAATTTAGACTTGAAGTCACAATATGAATTTGACAAATAAGTTTAAAATTACTTGGGTTTGAGAAATATAATTTGAAATTTTGGAACATTTTTAGAAATTGTGTGGAGATAATTCAAATAATGTGTTTTGAGATCTCAAATAGATATACCTACAGCATCTCAACATTTTTTTGGAAGCCAATCATATTGTTTGTCCCCCTAGTTTAGACGAGATTTTACTCTGACCAACATAGATTTAATTTGAATAATTTCAACCTTACATTTTTTATTGTGTTGCGACATTGTTTGTTCATTACTTACTATTAAAATTTTAAACAAAAAATATATGCAAAATTAGAGACCTAAGTGAAATTTATTTAAAAAAAAAAAAAACTACTAATATAATAAAAACATTACACCAATGATCCTTACATTCCTTTTGAATTTCACTTTAACTACTCTAGTTTTGCACATGGTCTTCTTCTTCTATCCAAAATGTTAAACCATGCATGACGAATAGAAAAAGCTACAATAAAATAAAAAGATATATAATTTAAATTATTCAAATTAAAACTATAAAGACTAAAATTGTATCCGAATCATTGATTTGAATAAGTTATTTTTAAAAAAAAATATGTAAGTAAAATATGATTCCATTTCACCTACTTTTTTCCTTTACTTTTTTCGAATCTCTATTAAAATTCAAAATCCAAACATAACCTAAAATGACACTCTCGTAAACTACAACAGTTAATGTTGTAATTTACTTTTTTTTGGGATACCCTTTAACCTAATTTGATGATTCTACGAAATTCATTGAACATGAATAAGTTGATAAAATGAACGCTTGACAAATGTATCAACTATTTCCTGTAGGATGCTCCTGGCTACCTAGGCTAACCCTTGATTCTTCACAATCCTTTGTTTCTATACACAGAATAAACATGAAACATATGAACACCAAATGCAAAGTATGATATGCCTAAGGTGACAATAAATTTAAGGAATAGATTTTTTTGCAACGGATGTTGATGGCTAGCCTAGATCAATGTCGACCCGCTCAGGATTTCCCCTTTCGGTCTGGTTTGCAGCAAGCTCTACACCCAGCTGGCCTTTGTCACCCGAGCCAAAAGCGTATAACGTACCAGATTCAGTGAGCGCAAATGTGTGGGCGTTCCAGTATATTGAATTAGTGAGGCTAATCTGTACCACCCGTTCCTTCAATTGCTTCAGCGATGTCACAATTTCTGGGCTTAGAACATTTGTGTGCCTATTCACCTGCACAAAACAACAGAAACAAGCATATCATTCTCTAGCCATATCCCTAATCCATTCACAAACACCCACACACTCTTAATTTTATGGGGCAAGAAATTTCCCACACTCAAGAACATTATAGAAACGCAACTCAGCACCATGGTATCATTTTACACTGTTCTATGCGTCAAAACATTCAAGAATTTATTTAATCTCTTTCCCAAATCAGCAAGGATAAATGCATAACAGCTATCGTGTCAATCAATATTATGCCATTGGTTTGGGATCGGCTAAAAAAGCCATTTTTGACTAAAAATAAGCCAAAAAGCAAAAACCTGTTTGGGAAAAGCTTAAGAAAAACAAAAAAAACCACAACACTTTTAGCAATTCCCAAACGTACCAGCATTTTTAGCCAATGCCAAAGAGTTTATCAGCAATAGAGACCATAAGGTAATGTACTAATCACGTTAGTGAGAATAACATGGAATTTGAAACCAAACATACAGAGATGTGTAAAGAAGAAGCTAGATACAGGGAGAGCAACAAGGACTGAAAGAAACAACAAACTAATTATGTTTCCATACTAACTTCACAATCAGTCCACGTTTCAAACACAATATTTGGTATCATTAAGACACGAGCATTCAAATCACATCATGGAAGGTAGTTAACGAATTCGAGAATAGCATAAACAGAAATCATGCCAAATCCTGTGGCCTAGCTTAATAAAGCAAGTTTTTAATTATTTCCGAAATAAGGTAGGAGAAACACAGACCTGCCCATCGGCGCCACCAGTATTATGTCCAAGACTGGACGATTCTCCACATCCAAACGAGTATACATCACCATCCTCAGACACCACAAACGTTGTATAATCTCCTGTAGCAACGTGAATCGCTTTGACATCACTCAATGACTCCACCACCTTAGGAACTGATTCACAATCTTCATTCCCATGACCCAAGCACCCATACCGTCCCCAACCCCATGTGCACACCCTTCCATCCTTTCCCACCACAGCAGCGTGCCAAGCACCAGCAGCAACCACCACAGGCTGGAGATTCAAAGTCTGAAACTGTTCGATCAATCTTGGGTACTTCTCATCAGTTCTTGTACCGTGTCCAAGCTTCCCACCCAATCCACAGCCAACAGAGTACACTGACCTGATTTGTTATCCAAAGAACAACAATGTATAAGCATTTGTTCAAGTATTACTACAAATTGTTGTATTTGATGCTACAAGGTTCGACACAGTAAGGCTATGTTTGAATTTTGGGTTTGCCAGGAATTTGTGGAGAACTAAGAAGCACACACTTCTGTGGAGGCATGTCGTGTCAGACTCCACTGACACTTTAAATATGTTTTGATCATATTTTTATTATCTTTAAACAAATTCATATATATATGACATATAAAAAATTTGTAAAAATATAAATTTTAATGTGTCCCAAGCCGAGTCATGTCCTACATTTCTTTAAAAATTGACATGTTAGCATGTTTGTGTCGTGTTGCGTGTCCATGTCTATGATGCTTAGGTGGAGGAGGGGGAAAAATAAAAAATCACTTTTCCCTTCCCTTTACTTTTCCTTCCATAAATTCAAAATCCAAATATGAAACAGTATATTTGGAAACTCTTGTCAAGGGATGAACAAGAAGCTCACATGCCGCTAGGTTGACAAGCCAAAGCAAGAAGGTAACAGTATCCAGCTGCAATTTGAACCACCGGTATATTCTCAAGTGCTCCCAGTAAAGGATAGGGTTCCAAATCATTTGGTTCTGTTTGGTGACCGAGTTTGCTTTCATTGCCCCAAGAAAATGTATAAACCCTTCCTTCCCTTGACAATACAGCAGTGAAGAAATTTGCAATTGCAGCTTGCACCACAAATATGTTTTTCAAAGACTCCACCAGCTGTGGGGCAGTAACTAGTCTACTTCCTTGAGCTCCATACTCAGCTTCCCCAAAGGAGTCTTTTCCGAAGGCATAGACCTGCCCGGAATCACTAATCAGCATTGTCCGGCCAGCCCCAGCAGTGGCTTGAATAATACGAATGCCTTGAAGTGATCTGCAACAAAACCAGTTCAATTAAATTTTCTCCTAACCAAACCATTCACTTCATATATTCTTGCTTCTACATTATTACAGCAAAAACAACAAAAAACTAAGTCTTGTGTGCCACGCAAATAAATCCTTTTTTGCCATTCTACTCTGTCGAGGGCTATACGCTCAATTAAACTAAAGGGATTAATATCTTCTTTTAGGCCTTCCTCTCCTAAAATTTCCATTTATTGTAATCATATCACTCTTCCTTACTATTGCAGGTCTTCTAAATTATTGAGTATAAAATTACAGAAACTTAGCAACCTAATTTGACGAGGCCGCCACTCCTCTTCTGTAGTGCCATGCCCTAGCTGTCCTGAGCTGTTAGACCCAAATGAATAAACACCACCTTTTGAAGTCACAGCAACACTGTGGCCTGGCCCTGCTATAGCTTGGGATTTCTCTCTCCTTGAGCATGCTTCTCCAGCCAGCAAGAATCTTAGGACCAGTTTCCATGAGCCCCCACATCTTTGCTTCAAATCTTGGCATTCCTCCACTGTCATTGGCTTAAATATAGCTCTCTTTCGGCACATATCCAAAGCAGCAAGCTCTGATAAGGACAGCTCATTGTCCGGGGCAAAGTTTGCAGGCTGCCTGAAGAAAGAACACGTTGCCTACACAACACACACCATTACAATTCAATCAGCAGAATCATCAATTCTAATGTCAACAAAGAGTTTCATTACTAGAAAGTAAAGAAAAAGAGCACTTGCCTCTAAACTAGCAAGATCGTGAGGATCCAAATTACATGCAGTAAGGACATGAAGAACAATAGAGGGATTGGCTGACAATGGAAAGTCTCCGGGACATTCATTGCCAAAGCAATGTCGTTGTTGTCGTTGCAATGTGGGTACACTAGAGGTTACAAGGGCAGTGATTGGTTGCTCGGGAAGATTATGGTATTGGATAGTTGGGTTTCCACTCGTTGAGGCATCCATGGGCACTGCTCAATTGTGCAGTGCCCAGAATAGGCAAAGGAGAAGATCTATACTGCTGGAATTGAAGTGTAAAAATTACTATACATTGAGTCAAACAGTGGACAGTACATACAAATTGTAAAATTCAATCTTCCAATTTTCTAACTAATAAGAATTTCAAGTATCTACCTTAAATTATGTACTGGTCAGAGAATTTCAGGTATCACACCTACACACAAAAACACATTATCATAAACACACATTTTATCGGACTGAAGTGGATAACAAAGCTTATCAAAAGCAAAATTGAGACAATAAAGTGCTTCAAACTAATAAAAGAGGCGTCAAAGATCAAAAGAGAACTTTGGGACTCAATTTTAAGATACCAAACATCCCCAATTCAGACCATCCAAATCAAGAGGCACAAGTATGGACAAAGATAGAATCTCAAAACAGCAAAACCAGTAATGGAAAGTGTAAATGGTTTGCAAGTATGATCAAACAAGAAAATCAAACATAGATACACCAAAAATGAAGAAAACAGTCAGTATTTTTTTATTATTTTATTATTCTCATTTTAAAGAATAGGAGAGGGTATTCTACTCACACAATGGGGAAAACTGCCAAATGAAGAATACTAATCCTTCAAAAATGGATATTCCAAATCCAAAAGAAACCCAAAAGGAAAGGAATTTCCACTCAGAAAGATATGCTTCAATTCAGGTAATAATCTATGGAATCCCAACAATTCAGATTTCATAAATCTAAACAAAACCAATCAGATACAAACCCAGAACAAAGATTACACTTTACAAAACAATTCTTCACAAAAATCAACCAAAAAAAATTCTGATCATTCAACGGGACAAAGATCAAAGTTATCATCAGACCATCAGTTAATCCCATGAAAACAAACAAGTAAAAACTGAAAATTATCACACGATCACAAATGGGTTACTGTTGAATCTGTGCATTACGATTGTTACAGATCGAAAAATCAAAGATTACATGTCATAGAAACCCAAGATTCCTCAAAAACCCAGATGAAATTCGTCAATATTTCTGATTTTTTCACCAAAACAGCAAAGTTACAGATCAAATTGAAGAGTGTGGAAATGGGCATCTGATCAAAAGTAGTCTGGAGTGATTGTTTCGCAGGAAAAAATTAGAAAATATGAATCGTTGATGGGATGTAAGGAAGAAATTCAAAAGAAAGAGAGAGAAAGAAGAATTTTTACGCTTTTGATGAGGAGTGAATGGGATTTGAGGTGATATTTTTAGCTTTATATATATATATTGCTGAATTGGGTGGCTCTGTTGTGTACGTTTTTCAAGGGGTACGAGAGGAGATGAGGTGTCTCATGGGTGGGTGATGGGATTGAAGAAGGCTCTGTGCTCTTGCATACACATGTATGTATTCTAAATTAGCTGGTTGTTTTCCACACGTCAGCTCTCTCTCATTTTTCACCATGGTTTTTTTTTTATTTTTTTATTATTATTATTATTTTTTGATATATATGGAAACAAACGGAAAGAAAAAAAAAATTCATAGCTTATGGGATATGGGTTAATTTTTTAATTATTTTAATCTGATGGTAAAAAATTTTGTTTGGAATAGACTTTTCAAATTTTGTAAGAAAAAAAATTATGATTTAGATGTGACATTTTATTTTGTTAAACTAAAAAACTTATTTTATTTTTTAAGATTAAAATAGCCCCAACCCAACCCACATTATGGCCTCATTTGGGAAGTGGCTATTTTAGTAGGTTATTTTAGTTTTTTGCTATTTTAGTAGGTTAAAATTTTTGTGTTTGGGAAGATGATTAATTTTTTTGTAGTTGAATGTGATGTTTGTGAGAGAAAAAGTGAAATGATTATGGGTTTGATATGATATTTTGTCTTATTAGCTATTTTAGCCTATTTTGTCTTTTTGTGATTTTTAGCCTAAACTAGGCTATTTTTTTTCTTCTCAAAATTGTATATCTTTTAAAGGTATGTATATCTGAATTTTTTGATATACAGAAAATACTATGTCACACACTCTTCAAAAGGCATGTACCATATGTAATTGATAACTCATGAAAAAAATTGTATAATTTTATACTTTTTTAGTTGTAACTTAAAAAAAAAAAGATAAATTATAAATATACCTCATGAGATTTGATTAAAATACAAATCACTCATTGTGGTTCTAGAAATTACATTTCTCCTCCTGGGGTTCTAATTTCATACAAATCACCCCTTTTATTAATAAATTATGAAATCAATTAACAATTTTTAATAATACTAAAAATATGCTTCAATCAATAATTTAGGTAATTTAATTATTGTATAGGAGAGCAATTATAAATTTTATTTTTTTAATTAATTTTGTTAAATTAAAAATTCTAACAAAGGGCTTTTGTAATTTTCTAAATCACATGAGGCAATCTGTATTTTAAGCAAATCTCAAGAGAATATTTATAATTTAACCAAAAAAAAAAATCATAATCAAATACAATATGATGTATGACTAAAGAACTTATAAGTTATAATTAAAATGATATTATGACTAAAGAAGAAAGGAAAATATAGTCAAAACCCCTCATTGGATCTTTGTTTGGTAAAAATGACAGCCCAATTTATTTTACTTCATAAACCCCTAAGAAGAAAACACATAATTGAGTAAGGACAAAGTAAAATATCTTTTTTTTTTCTTGGACAATATTACTAGCGTAACATGTTATTGTCAAATAGAGTAACATATTACTATGAGACAGAATAAAATATTAACGTTACTGTTTACATCAATTTCGACGATAATAAATTTTTTTATTTTTACGAATTTTAAAGTCAATTTGGATCTTATTTGATAGATTTTGATAAGGAAATTTTAAAAATACTAATTTTATTAAAAATCGATATCTACATCAAAAGTTATATTATTTTAATATTTAATATTTTGATAATAATGGTATGTATTGAATTTTTGAAGGAAAACTTTTTATACTTGTCCTTAATGTATTAAAGTTTTATTATGAATGGGTTTTGACCAAATCCCCCAAGAAGAAAATTGGTCATAACTAAATAATAAAATGGCAAAACTACGGGTACATATGGTTCACCTCATAACTAGTGTTGGTACACTAATCAGTACACTAATTGATGCATGTAGCACCACCGTTTTTTAATGAATAATGCTATATGCACCAATTGATGTACTAATTAGTATACTAATTGATTATGTGGCATAATTTAAGAGATTTTTGGTATTTGTAATATAATTAATGAGTGAGGTCAATAATAATGTCATAACTGGTGTTGGTACACTAATTAGTACACTAATTGGTGCATGTAGCACCATCGTTTTCCAATGAATAATGCTATACGCACCAATTGATGTACTAACTAGTATACCAATTGATGACGTTGTATAATTTAAGAGGTTTTCGGTATTTGTAATATACTTAATGAGTGGAGTCAATAATAATGTTAGAACTAGTGTTGATACACTAATTAGTACACTAATTAGTGCATGTAGCACCACCGTTTTCTAATGAATAATACTATATGCACCAATTGACATACTAACTAGTGTATCAATTGATGATGTGACATAATTTAAGAGGTTTTTAGTATTTATAATATAATTAATGAGTGTGGTCAATAATAATGTCATAACTAGTGTTGTTACACTAATTAGTACACTAATTGATGCATGTAGCACCATCGTTTTCCAATATATATTATAATCGGGTGTCGGGATTAATTTATACGCATCTCAATTAATTTCAGGAGATTAATCTCAAAATTCACTTATAAGGGTCTCATTTAAAACCAAAGCAATCTGCTTGTATGGACTGCCTCGAGGAGTTTATACCATTGGCTCTCCTAAATTAAGCTGAGGACTCGTTTAGAAATTGACTATTATGGTTAAGTTTTTGATTTTTTTTTTTAAAAAAAATGGTGCAAAAAAATAAGAAATAATATGACAATTTATAATAACTTTTTAATTATTTTAATTTATTAACAAACGAGGCCTAAGCTTCAATTTAGTTTTCATTATATAAAATTAAGACTAAAGTAAAATTTAAAAGAAACTATATGAACTATCGATGCAATTTTGCCGTGACACCATGATCCCTATAACTTCATTTTAGTTACTTTGGTCAACTTAGTTTGCATGTAATCTGTTTTTTGTTCAAAATATTTATAACATATGACAAAAGAATACGATTACAATAAAACTGAAAGTATGGGTTTGAATTATTTAAATTAAAATTGTAGGAATTAAAATGAGACTTTGTTTAAACTAAGGGATTAATAAAAATACTAAACTAAATTATCGACAAAAACTACCAATTCTGCCTATGGAATGGATTGGTATTTTTTTTGATACTTTTGTAAGTGCATTTTTTTTTTTCAAACAACTAAACTTAAAGAATTCTTGGTAATGAGATATAAGAGTTTTAACCAATCGGACTAGTCCAATTCCAAATGGGAGGGTAGTCTATTTATAGATGTAAAGGTGGCTTTTGGTTTTGAATTGAACAGGTATGATAACCTGTTGGTTTTGAATTCAAACAGATTTGAATTAATTCAAACAGATAGTAAAACGGGAAGGGCCCTGTTTGGGTGTGCATTAATTCCAAAACAGTTTATTTCTGTTTGAAACCGGGAAGGGCCCTGTTTGGATGAACAAAAAATCCAAACTAATTTAATTTGAATTCTGGATTTTATTTTAATAAAAAATAAAATTAAATTCAAATGTTTTTGGCCCAACCCAACCACGCACAAGCCCAGCCCAGCCCGCCCGACCGGCGGCGGCGGCGCGCGTGTGGTGTTTTTTTGGGTCCAATGGGTCTAGCCCATTTTGCCCATAACCTCTCCCTCTAAAACACTTGGGTACCCCTTGGGGCACACCCCAAGTATCTCACCCTAAGCCTTATAAACCCTTTCAAAACTTCCCACCAAATCAATGTGGGACAAGCCAATTTACAACCTTAAGGAATTTCCACCAAAACTCCATTTTCATGGAGCACACTTTGGCTTCAATTTCCCATTCACTCGGTAATGGTTTTGAGCAACCAAATATACCACGTGAATCACAACGCGGCATAGAACGCGTTACCACTTTGACCCGAGTAAAACGACACTCGGGGCCCACCTAAAAAATAGACCAAACTTGAGGAAAAATTAACCATTTCCAACAATTTGTTTGTCATGTAGTTGAAAAAATGTAATCATCTCTTTTTCTACTGAAATATATATTTTACCTTTTTAAAATTGTGTTTTCACACTATATTAGTTTTGGTGTCAATAATTAATTTTATTAAAATAGGTATCAATTTTATTAAAATAGATATCAATATAATTATATTATAATTGTGAGATTTGTTATATATATTTTTAAATTTTTTTTAAAAAAATTAATATATAATATTTTTTTATTTTTTTATTTTTTTTTTTTATTTTTTTTTTTTTGGGGCACTGTAAATCACAATTATTGGCAAAGCCTTGAAAACACTAACGAGAGTGGAGCATATTGGAAAATTTGGTTTCTTATAGATTTATTTTGAATTAATTTTGAGTCCAAAATTGAGTGGAATCTACACAGTTTTTGAGGTAAGTTTAAAGAGATTGCGTGTTCCTTACAGCATGGTAAGTCACACAGTGAAGACGGTTCGTCAAAACCATTTATGAATAAATGGGAACTTGACGTCATTTTCAGGTTCGTGGAATGGATAATTCAAACATTATACGTGGGTTTTCTTGTAAGGCTTATCCCACATTAGAAACCTAAGAGAACTTATGTGTGTATATAAGTTCTAGATGGCAACACTTGGGTTGCGTCATAAGGGGCACCCTAAGTTTGTAGAAGGGAGGAGTTATGGACAAATCGAACCTTGGCTTAAACCACCGCGCGCCACCGCCCGACCGGGCGTAGTTGTAGGTCGGATCAATTCTAATGTTAATTTTTTGAACAAAATTCTAGAAAGAAATTAATTCAAATTTTACCCCAAATTTGAATTCAAATTTTTTGTCAATAATTGTGCCATTTTCAGTCTAAAATTCCTAACAGATAAACTGTTTTTTAACAGGTTTTAACTGCCAAAAAATGCCCAACAGTTCCGGATAGTTTTTCCAAAGAGATTCAAATTTGAAACTGCTGCAGATCTGTTGGAATTTTGAACTATATCTATTCAAAACAGTTTCATATCTGTTCGGTTCAAAACAACACCTGTTTGG